GATGTTTGACCATTAATATTGTTTCTTGGAAGTTGATCAGACATTCTTAATGTTTGAGGTCGACCACCTGAAGAACTACCAGATGATCCATTTCCTCCTGAAGACGAACTACTACCTCCAGATGATCCACTTGAAGAACTACTAGATGATACTCCAATATATGAAAAGAAACTTCTAAATAATCTACTAGAATTTCCACCACTTGATATAGTAGCAGGAGGTGCACTTCCACCTAATCTAACATTTTGCGAAGATCCACTCCAAGGTGGTGGAGCTTGTTGGATTTGAGAAATTCTTGGTAGTGCATTAACACCACCAAATATTCTCCTGCCAGTATCTTGAGAGTAAGCTGAAGGAACAAAAAGACAGCTGTTTTGTTTTGGTTGTGTTTCTGTTTCTAAAATTGCTTTCAAGACTCGTAACTTGTTGTTTGCAATTGCTCTAGAAGCCCTTGTTTCAATGTTGTCAATAGTAAGAGAATTATCTTGAACTAACCACTCTTGTAATTCTTGTGATGTTATTGGAGTATGTTCGCTGATTTCGTTAATAAGTTGAGCTAATTGACTTTGATTTCTATTCAAGTTGGAAGTTACTTCTTTTTCAGTACTGGAGTAATTGGATACTTTGTGTCTATCACTCCATGATATTCCATTTGTGGTTAATATACTTCTCATAACTTTGTCTATTTCAGAACTACTGTTCAAAGGATAAGCATCTAAGTTCGGACGTGGTAATGATATCAGTTTCTGTGACGACATGTCATTCAAACGTTCCTTTAGACTAATCAATAATGTACATATGGTAAATAGTTTGTAAAGTTCACTAACTCTCCTAAGAACCGGAAAATATTGAGATATTTCTTCATAATGTTTAGAGAATGCATTGGCAAACTCTGATTCTGATGAGCCAGCATGTTCATCATCCTCCAATTGGCCTGTTAAACTATTATACAACATCTTCATTGTCTTTACCTTGGTGTCAAATTTTCCAAGTGTATAAGAAATCTTACCACCTCTTTCACTAGTATAGGTTGGTATTTCTTCACAATCAATCCAAAATCTGTGTGCACTACCTCCTAAATCAGGTACATAATTATCGCGGTGATGAATAGGTGATAATACTGCCCTTAATCTTTCTGGTAATATTTCTAAAATATTACTGACATCACGAGTATGGAATGGGTAGTAGCTATTAACTTCTACTCCACTGCTAATCATTTTTAAAAGGTAGTCTGCATGTAGAAAAGTCATTACAATATCAGAATGGATTGGTACGTCTGTTGGACCAACTCGGATCTGTTGGAAAGTATGAAAATTGAAAGGATATGGGTGATCGGGAGGATCTAATGAGAAAAATATTCCTCTAATACCGTTCTTTAAAATATAGTCAACGTCTCCCCAACTAAAGTAAGCATCTTGAAGGGAAGTGGCTGGAACGAGCTCTAGATTAATATCACCACTTTCGGTATCAAAAATAAATCCTCTAACACCAGAATAAAGTCTTTTTTCTGATTTAAAGTTTAGAGTATTGGATGGAGAAAGCCATCCATCATCTCTTGTAATCATATCCCAAGTCATTAAAGACTCGACTTGGTAAATTGTCCACCCTTTTTCTCTCAAACATTGATCTATAAACATAAATCTAATTTCATTCGATTCGTCCTTAAGCCATCCCATCCATGAACCATCAAGCAATACATGATCTCTGTGCATAACTGTAAATAATTGCTCCCTGCCCTCAAACTCTGGTTCTTCCATGGATTTCATATTCAAATAGACGGTAAAATAAGCCATCAAATTTGAGTTAACACAATCGAAATAAATAGAGTCTGAAGATGTAAACATTGGGAAATAATTAGCTAGAGGAAATTGGCGAGCTCTGTTAATCGTTTCTATACATGTTTCAGTTAATGCTAGGGACATTACTTTAGCAAAGGGCAATTCCAAACCATGTTCTTTCTCCAATCTTCGAGTTCTGATTTTCATCAACTTTATAAGTTCAAAACCTATACTCAAGCACATCTTCAACATTGTAAATTGCACAACTGGGGAGAAAATACTTTTACAAACGTAACCAAGTGCAATTACATTTCCCATTATGTGGGTTTGGTTCTACGAACCTCGGATACCTCTTACTCCAATC